TCCCCCCCCCCCCCCCCCCCCGCCACCCCTCTGATTTTTCTGTTTTAAATTGTTTACTTGTTTTTTTCTCTCTGAAAAATAAATACCTAACCCTTCTAACATAAAAAGTTTTCTTTCTCATTCTAATAATTGCTTCAAGCTTTTGTTTAAAACAATTGACATATAATTGAAATATAACATTCTGTAAGTTTATGGTGTATACTGTGTTAAATTGATACATTTATATATTATGACTAGAGGCCTGGTGAATGAAATTCGTGCGGGATGGGGGGGAGGGCCCTCAGCCCAGCCTGCACCCTCTCAAACCCGGGACCCCTCGGGGGATGTCCGACTACTGGTTTAGGCCTGATCCCTGAGACTGGCCTAAACCGGCAGTCGGACATCCCTCTCACAATCCGGGACTGCTGGTTCCTATCTGCTCACCTGCCTGCCTGCCTGATCGCCCCTAACTCCCCCCCACTGCCAGGCTGATAAACCCTAACTGCTTCTGCCTGCTGGCCTGATTGCCCCTAACCGCTCTCCAAGCAGGCTTGGTAGCCCCACACAGCCTGCTGTTCAATCATTTGGTCATCCCCCACTAACCCACCTGCCGGCTTGGTTGCCCCACACAGCCTGGTGTTCAGTCGTTTGGTCGTCCCTCACTAACCCCCCTGCCAGCCTGGTCGCCCTACACAGCCTGCTGTTTGGTCATTACTGTTATTGTGACGGCATCCTAGACAATTTGTATATTCCTCTATTATTTTATAGATATAACTACGGGCCCAGTGCATGAATTCATGCACCTCGAAAGGAACTGTGGGCCATGAGGCTGCAGTGGGCACAGGGGCGGGTCTCAGCCCATCCTCCACACCCCCCCTTGGCCCCTCACATCGTGGCCCTAGGTCCCCTGTCTGCCGGCAGCCCTGCTCCGGCCACCACAGCTCCCATGTGCTGATGGTGCCAGTAGCAGGTACGAATGGGGCTGGCGCCATCAGTGGGTGTGATTGGCGGCTGCTGGCCCAATTGCCCCTCAGAAGCAGGGAGATGAGGAGAAGCCCTCAGGGACAATTGGGACTGGTGCCGGATGCCAGCAGCGCATGTGACTGGTGGCTCTGGCTCCAGCTGCAGGTGTGAGCGGGGCTGGCACCGGAAGTGGGTTTGAACAGCAGCTCCAGTGCCGGCCAGGAGTGTGAGCAGGGCCATTACTGGCAGCAGGTGCAAGAGGCGGCTGTTGGACCAGATCGCTCCTTAGGAGCAGGGGGAGGTGGAGAAGCTCTGAGGGACGTTTGGGGCCAGCAGCCGCCGCTCGCAACTACTAACGACGCTGAGCAATCGGACCGGCACTGGGTGCTGGAAGTGGGTGTGAGCAGTGGCTCTGGCTCTGGCAGTGGGTGAGAGTGGGGCCTATGCCGGCAGCAGGTGTGAGCACCCAGTGGTACTGTGGCATGTGGGAGCACAGAATTTTCGGTAACCACCAGAGTCTCGCCCTGAAAACAGCAACCAGCACCCCTCCATGGTCTGCTGCCCCTGCTCACCGGATCCACCATCCCGCCACTGCCAATGCCTGCATTGTTCTGCACTCTACTGCCTGCAGCCAATGCCCACCATGTTCCGCGCACGCCCCCTGGTGATCAGTGCACGTCATAGCGACTGGTTATTTGGTTGTTCGGTTGTTCCGCCACTAGGTCTATTTGCACATTAGGATTTTATATATATAGATTAATACCTAACATTAGTGAACACCTCTATTAGATCACATAATTATCGTTTTATGTGTGTGGTGAGAACATTTAAAATCTAGTCTCTAGAAACTTTCAAGTATATAAAGAGTATTGTTGGCTATAGTGATCTACAGATCCCAAACTGAATCATCGTCGAGTCGCAAGTCTGTACCCTTGACCAACTTCTTCTTACCCACTAATCTTTCTTTCACCATTCCATGGTAATCACCATTATACTTCTGTTTCTAATGGGTTTGCCATTTTTAGATTCCACATGTAAGTGATATCCTATATTATTTGTCTTTTTCAGTGTGCCTTATGTCACTTAACATAATACCTTTGTGGTCCATCTATGTTGTCCCAAATAGTAGTATTTCCTCCTTTCTTATGGCTGAATAATATTGTAGTGTGTGTGTGTGTGTGTGTATTTCACTTCTCTTAAGTTGTTTCCATTTATTGGCTACTGTGAATAATGGTGCAATAAATGTGGGATTATGGATATATTTTTGAATATCCTATTTTTCTTACTTTTAGAAGTATACCCAGAAGTGGATTTGTGGATCAAATGGCAGCTCTGTTTAACTTCTTAAAAAACCTCCATACTGTTTTTCATAGTGGTTGCACCGGTTTTACATTCCCACCAACAATGCACAAGATTCAGTGTTATCTTGTAGATCAGCAAGTTTCCTTAGCACAGCTATTTTGACTTTCTATTGGGTGAATCATATATCTCCATGTCTGTATTTGTTTGCTGGAGGATTGTTGTAGAATTTGGTGACCTAATGTTTCCTTGATTTTTCATGTTCTTTGGAATTTTGCATTGCTGTTTTTGCATTTGAATTAGCAGTCACCCACTTATGTTTACTACTTTCAGGGTAGACATACCTTTTGTCAGTACTGCTATAGATAAGGCTTTTTTAGTTCTTGTATGAATATGCCTGCTCTGTGCTTTATGTTCCCTCTTGTGGGAGAATTCTTGAGCCTGTTTGTTCTCCCTCCATATAAAGCACCAGGCCAGATGCTGATCTTCTTAGTATTAAGCTTTTTCTTTCTTTTTCTTTTCCTGAAGGTGGTGCTACAGCTCAAGTTTCTGGTTCTCTCCTATCTACCATCCCTTGTCTGTATTCTGCTCTTGCTCCCTAGCCTTTTATCAAATTTTGTTCTTGCTGCTGCCCTTGGCAGCTTATACGTGGAGCTGGCCACAGAGGGGAGGAGATACGGGTTGGAAAGCAGGTCACTGTTTTTGCCCACATGCCAGTATGTGGGGATCTGTAAAAAAGGTTTTCTTAATGGTTTGTGGTCAGGCTTCCTGATGGAGTACAGAATGCAGTCAGGAGGAACCCTGTCTCTTTAACATGTTCTCTACTAATCTTCTTTGCCAGATCTGCTCCCTCACCAGACACTCTGAGCTCTACTTGTTTCGTCTATCTCCTTTCTGAAAACTGACTTCTGTGCATGGGCCACAAAGTTTCAATCGCATTGTACGTGTGTGTCTGCATGTGGTATTTTGTGGAAGAGCCACACTCAAGGGGCCAAAGAGCTGCATGTGGCTCGCGAGCCGCAGTTTGCCGACCACTGCCATAGGTGACTGCCCAAGTCAGGGCTATAGGTACTCCTGGACTGCAGGTAAGAGGGGCTGGAACAATTCACAATATCCTGTCGGTGTCACAGCCAGTACTGGAGTCTCTCTGCCTATTACCTGATGTGTAGGTGGGAAAGACTCTTTCCAGGTCCTTTTGCATTGGCACTTTTGTTCGTGGATAGATAACGAATTTTGTTGTTCAAGGAGAAAATAACAAGAGATATCTCATGCTCACTTACACCAGATTGCTATTGTCACTCCTGAGGTATTATGATCCACTCCCATGGGATGTTCTCTAGCATTATTGTAGCATTATGCTTTTTCTTTATTATATACTTTTCACACCATTTTTATTACTTGCTTATATGATCTCTTTCCAAGTAAAATATCTGGTGTGGGGGAGTAAAACCTGTGTCTACATTGATGCTCTGTATATCCCCCCCTTGCACTGTGCTAGTCACTTTAAAATTAGTTTTTGAATTAATATCTGATACTTTTTTTATGTGTTGAATAATGAAGGCCTTAATTTAACTGACCCTAGTTCCAAAGTCTCTGAAGTATACTTCTTTATTTTGTAATAATAGTGACATTCAAATTCTTGAAATAGTATGAGTTTCTAATTGGCAGGTCACTTTACCCAGATTCCCATATCTCCCTCAGTGTGACCAGACCTTCTGAATGACGAACACAGAATCATTCCTACTGAAAATGCAAAGTAGAACAAACACGAATAGTTTTACCTTAGGCAGAGGCTTAGCAGGTTTGCAGTGGAGGCCTCCAACAAATTGAAAATGTGGCAAGAGTGGGCGAGGAAACTCAAAATCCCAATAGGTTCGAATAAACCATATTTCTGCTTTTCTCATTAACTCGAATAATGTAATGGGTCTTCCTGAAAAGGAAAAGAAAAAAAAAAAGTAGAGAAAATAAGAATATTGTAATGTAAATATACCATGTTGTTTTCTTAAAGAAAAGAAAAGAAAAGCTTGGAATAATGTAGCCAAAGATATTTAAAGTGTCTGTGATTTGATAGTGCAAACATCTACATATATAAAAGCCTAAACGACAATTTGGACCGTTTGGTTGACCAAAAAAATGGTAGATAGGTCGCTATGATTCACACTGACAACCAGTGGGCAGATGCTCAACACAGGAGCTGCCACCTGGTGGTCAGTGCACTCCCACAGCCAACTCCCATGATCAGCCAACCTATTATGGTCCATCCCCTCAGCTGGCTGGGTTGTCAGTCTGCTCCCACAGCCAACCTTCCATGGTCCCTCCCCCTGCCAGACGGCCCATATCAGGCCCAATCTCTGGCCACACTGAGGGACTCCACCCATGCACAAATTCGTGCACAGGGCCTCTAGGATTTATATAATGTACATTTTTTATATTATGACTGGAGGCACGGTGCACAAAAATTTGTGCACTGGCGGGGGGCGGTATCCCTCAGCCCCACTTGTGCCCTCTCCCAGTCTGGGACCCCTCGGGAGATAACGACCTGCTGCCTTAGGCCCGCTCCCGGGTGGCAGAGGGCAGGCCCAATCCCTTGGTGCCAGCCCCGCAGCCCCTGGTTGGGCTCAGAGCAGGGCCGATCAGGGGTTGGAGAGCTCCCCCCTGTCATGCACAGAGCAGGGCGGATCAGGAGGTTGCGATGCCACCCTCAGTCACACTCAGGGTAGGGCTGATCAGGGGGTTGGGGCGCTTCCCCCTGTCACGCACAGAGCAGGGTCAATGGGGAGGTTGCGGCACCACCCCCAGTCACGCACAGAGCAGGGCGGATCAGGGGGTTGGGGCGCCGCCCCCTGTTACCCACAGAGCAGGGCCGATCATGGGGTTGGGCACTCCCCCCTGTCACAGTCAGGGCAAGGCTGATGGGGAGGTTGCGGATCCACCCCGTCACAAACAGAGCAGGGCCCATGGGGGGGTTGGGGAGCTCCCCCCTAATGGCACAGAGCAGGGCCTATCAGGGGGTTGAGGTGCCTTCCCCTGTCACAAACAGAGCAGGGCGGATAGGGAAGTTGTGGTCCTGCCCCCTGTCCCGCCCCCGCTGATCCCGGTGCCGGGAGGTCTTGCGGCTCTGCTGATCCCGGTGCTGGGAGGCATATTACCCTTTTACTATATAGGTAAAGGCCTGGTCCACGGGTGGAGGCCGGCTGGTTTGCCCTGAAGGGTGTTCCGCATCAGGGTGGGAGTGCTGCTTGGGTGCATGGACAGCCTGGGTGAGGGGATGATGGCTGTTTGCAGCTGGTCACACCCCCTTCAGGGTGGGGGTCCCCACTGGGGTGCCTGGCCAGTCTGGGTGAGGGGCTGAGGGCCGTTTTCAGGCTGGCGGTTGACTGAAGCTCCCAACCTCTCCTTTTTTTCTTTTTTCTTTTTTTATTCTGGGATTTTTTTACCTTCTGTGGCTGTCACTGGAACTGAGAGCCAGCTTTAGCTCTGAGGCTCAGCTCCAGCTCTGAGAACTTCGCTGCTGAAAGCAGGTATCTGGTTTGTTTGGCTTCTATAATTGAAACAATGTTGCAACTCCAGCTTGGCCGCCTGGCTGAAAGCATGGGGTTTGTTTAGCTTCTATAATTGCAACATTGTTTCTTAGAGTGCCAGCTGAGAGCCCAGCAGTGGCAGGCGGGGAACCTTGGCTTCCTCCTTCACTGGAGCAAGCAAGCCTTCTGTTCGCTTCAGCTGCCTGGCTGCCGGCCGCCATCTTGGTTGGGAAGGGTAGCGAAGTTACGGTTAATTACCATGTTTCTCTATTATTAGATAGGATGTTTATATATATTAACAATACATATAAAATTTAACAGTTTTTCTTCTCTAACATCACATCAGGACATTCACAATCATAGAAAATGGTTAAACCTAAGCCACTACAGAATTAAACATGCATTTGCTACTCTGTAAAGCTGCAGAAGTAATAAATGCAAATATAAACAATGATTTTAATACCTCAATCAATTAAATATACCATATCCATGGAAACACATTTCCCTAGATTATTTAGTCTATTTTCTGCAATTTAGCAAGCTATTCCCTTTATCTATGATTTCCAAAAAATGGAGGTTTTGAGAGTATGGCTCATTTCCTGGTACTATAATTACATTTGGTTCAATTTAGGAGCCTAATAATACTTGTGCATTAATAAAAACATTTACAAATAAAAGCAGGAATATATTCATAATGTATGGTAATAGATGTGCTCACTCTTAATTTTGACTCATTTTGTCTTTAATGAAGGGAGAGTTTTCACAAAATATAGTTTACTGACTTACATATCTACCCATCAACAAAAGTTTAGTGTTTAAGCAGATGAGTTGTAAGTGCTTAGTGAAGGAATGTGAAGTCATTAGAAACCTGAAATTATAAGTTCCTGAGTCTAGGATAGAGCACTCTAGTGTGAAACAATCCTTCAGGTAATATGGCTAAATAATTCAGTTTTTAAATCAAACTAAACTACACAAGAGGAAGCAGTACCTGAAGGACCTTATAAGTTAAGCATTTCCATAATATTTGTGAGAATGAAAGATTATTTTACAATGTTATTTTATCATTTTACTTGTAAAAGACAAATTTGTCTCAATTAATATTTATACAAATCCACCTTTTAGGGCACTAGGAAAGTTAGGAGTTCTTGCTATCAAGTAAGGACATGACTTACCTAGTGCTTCGCTGTAAAGCTGATCCCACTTCTCACTAAATGCTTGGAACCAGAAATCAAAATAAAGCACATACATCATATTTTTTACTCGCTCCATGAATGTCATTTGATCACTTAATTCTGATAAGACAATAGGTACGTAGGATGGAGGGAATGGAAGTCCTCCACTGTACTTTTCAATTGTATAGCCAGGAGAGAAGCGGAGACTGTATACAAAAGGTATTTTAAGTAGCTCAGCCAGCAGCTCACCACAGGGTCCAGCGGGATCTGCAAGAACAACATCAAACCTTGATTCCTGTAGCTTTGTCATAAGGTTCTTGTTCAAAACTGCATCTTTACAGAGCTTTTGAATACAATCAAAATATTCGCAAGTGTTATCTTGCAATAGTGAAAAATAAGTCCAAAATGTATATTTTGGCGTATATGTCCACTTAGAGGTCAGCCGCTTGAAAAGATCCTCAAAATCATCTTTTGTTAAAGATGTAGGAAAAATCTCAAATTGAATAGCAGATGGTTTATTGGGATCAACAAGAATTGAAGCAGAAGATGTCAGAACAGTCACTTCATGACCTCTCTGGACAAGTGCATCCAGGATGGTCTTCATGTTGATCCAATGGCTGTATTCTGTGGGCCACACCAGCACCTTTCCACAACTCCCAGGGCTGAAGTGACAACTCAGCTGTAGCAGCAGCAGAACTGAAATCCACTTCATAGGCATCCTGGTGGCACACAGGCTTCTTTTCAAATGGCTGATCCCTTTACCATGGCTCCTGCTTATGTGCATAGGGAAATCAACCAGGAAGTTAAAATATAACTCTACACCCAAAGTAAATACATTTGATAAATAGTCAGAGCATTTTATGGCAAGTCAGAAAATGATAAATAATGCCATTTTTAAAAATACAAATCTGTGTAATATCTAAAAGTGCTGTCATCCAGCTGAGACAACTTGGCAGTTTTCTTGTGATTTGTAACTTATTATAGATGAATGTCATAATTATAGAAAGTTAGAGGTAATTGGGTCTGTAATGATTTTTTTGTAAAGAAAGGGAGATAATGCTATTATACAGCTGACAAAGAATTACCTGGATGACAATTCCTGAGATTTTATTTTAATGTTTATTTATTTTTTAAATTTGTCTTTATTGCTGAAAGTATTACAGGTGTCTGCTTTGGTATTTTTTCCTCATTGACCACCTCCTCCCCATACTCGCCCCTCCCAAGTCTTTACCACGCTAGTGTCTGTGTACATGGGCTATGCATATATGCATATAAATTCCCCGATTAACCTCT